CATTATGTTGCTTCATATATAAAAAGACTGATTGTGATTGCAAGCAAACGCCGCGATTTTGGAAGTGGAAGGGGAAAAAAAAAGCTACTCAGCAATCTCAGGTTTGCTTTTTTCTAGCATGTCCCTAGTGACTCACTGTCGGTGGTCTGAGAAGAGGCTGTAGCTGTGGGAAATGCCTGCTCGCTGTTCTCCTCGGCGTCCTTAGCTCCCAGTCAGCCCCACCGGTCAGCCCTGACATGGTGAGTGACCATGTCAGTGCTGCAGCTTTGCCTAAAGCCCTGTGCTGAGGCACGGTAGGTAGTGCAGGCTGTAGGCTTACTCCATCCGAGTGGCGGGGGTGGCTGGTGGCCTGGGGAAGTGCTCAAGCTGAGCTGCAAGTTGTGGTCTACCCGCCTTGTCAGTCATCAGCTGCAGATCTGCAAAGAAGGACACGTGCATCCATGTTTGCATTTCAGCAGTGATCCTACTGATTTCACTTGCAGCACGTAATTATCAGCATCTGAGGCCTTACACTAGTGAAGCCACTCTTTGACACACCATGAATATAATTCAGCATATCTATACATAATTTTATCCACAGGAGAAGGAAGGCCAGTAAGAGGGGTTTTTTTTCACTTTTATTGTATTTTAGAGAGGCATTCACATGTGCTGATGGTGAGACTGTCACTCTTTAGCCATTTAGATTACCATCAATGTTCAATGTATAGGGACAGACCTGACTTTACCTCTACAGCTTTCAACAAACTCAGCTTTGCAACAATCCTCCCTTACTGCTTGTCCACATTGCATCATATGTCGGGCAGACTGTGCCCAAGGATGGTTTTCTCCCTTAAATAAAAAGCCAGCAAATGCCACTTTTTTAGAAATCCTTTCTTTATATCACCAGTCTACGGCTGCACGTCTGTGTGCAGAAAATTTCATCTGCTGCTGGCTGTCTGTGTGCAGCACTAGCGAGCGAGCTAAAGACCTTCCAGCGTGCCAGGCAGGTAGTGCAAACATGGGTGCGATGTTTACATCATGGGTGACTGACGCAGGGAGAGTCCCTTTGGTCGGCCCAAACTCCATTTGTGGTGAGGGCAGGTGAGGCACTTCTTGTTGCTTGAAGTACTTCGGCTTCATCGCTGCTAGCTCTGGGCCTTTCAAGCCATTACTTTGTCCTTTGCAGTTGACTTCTACAGTGAGGGTCTCCTCCTCCCTGCCCCTTCCAGCTCTTGACAGCGTAATTATTCTTCACAGCCTGCCTGGCTTCTTTTGCAGTGAAAGGCTCTGTGGAAATCCCAGGAGCCCATAGCGGGGAGGCAACCTGTAACTAAGCTGTCGCTGCTCTGGCCAAATGAGCACTTCTTCATGACAAAGTGTGTGTCTCTTGGCCCATCTCCTCCTGTTTCTCCCAGTCAGTCATATACAATTGGTGTATGACACACTCATTTCTCTGGATAAGCATGCAAATCGCTGTATTCTTGGCATCTGTTGTGCATTGGGTTAATTCCTCTGTTTAGTCTTTCTCTTGCTGTCCCATCTCTTTGGTGATTCTCAGAGTTGGAGAGCTTCTTTTCTTCCCTCTGCATTTTTGTGCTCCCCAGGAGCCCATCTGGAACTGTGCACAAGGACATTATAAATTATTAAAACCAGGTTTCCCCATATCAATAAGCCCAAGGACATGTGTTGGTGCAAAAGTTGCGGTTTACTTTGCATCTGCCTGCCAGTCAGCTTTCAACATTCAGTATATCTTAATGCCTCTCCACCTTATTCTTGTGTGAACCAGAGAAATTTTCTCCTATCTTTAATTGCGTGAAGCTGCCTCAGCCAAACCAAATAACAGAATAAATAGCAAAGTCCATGTGAGCGCAGTTCCTGGATGCCAAACATCATCAGCAACAGGGCCACTTGGATGAGTTCCTCCAGCAGAACCTGGGAGTCACTAGAAGAAGCTGGCACCTTAACTATCCCTTATAGAAACAGTCCTATCCCCACACCTGAATTTCCATTTCCACAGACTAGGGATAACGAACGGGCACACCTTGCTTGTGGAGGCTTTTGAAAAGCCTCTGTTGCAGGGAACTGCCAGAAGACTAGATATTACTTGAGATATTGCTTATTTTATTGGGATGTCCTAGGAGATCAAAATCCACCCGACTGTGGCAAGGCAGCTGCGTGTAGCCCTGGTGTGGGAAATAGCAATCTAGTGAGATGAGCAACGGGTGAGACGTACGGGAGAATAGCCTGGTCTTCGAGTTAGGAATTTCACAGCTATACTCCAGAATCTTGAGCCGAATGACTCACCAGCACAGCGAAACCACAGAATGACACCAGCTTCCCTAAAGGAGACTTTTTATATACATAGCTGCTAGACTTGCATATTTCTGTTTATAAATACTCAGTAATAACTGACCGCAAAGTGAAATGGCCTTCTCAGCAGACAGCTCCTAAAAAAATACTTGTTCTATCTTTCCTTTCTTTCTGAGTAATTTGAAACCATACTTTTACACCTCCAGACATACTATTTTAACTTAAAGCCCTGATACCGGTGCATGTGGTCAGAACATTTTCTGGGTAAAAAGACAGCCAGGACAGAGCTCTTCTGAAGAAAGTTGATTAAAAGTGTTGATCCTTGCTAGGTGTATCTGGGAACTGCTACTCCATAGCTATTTGGCTTCAGTTTAGTTTTCTAAGGCAGGACAGCATATGTTACTGCACTATGAACTCACTTTGAATCCTTTAGTCGGCTTCATCTGTATTTTCCAAGGGTCTGTGTTTTCAAAGAGTCTGGATTTGTAGAAGTGTGATGAAAATTGGGCACTGGTGGCATCTACAGGTGGGAAACCCAAAGCATGGCCTCATGGAGGGAAAGTCAGGCAGAGCCCAGTCCTTACTCGTGCTGATGGGCAATGACAAGCTGACCAGTTAGCACCAATGTAGTCGTGAGCAAGCCCAAGGATGCGCTGCACCTGGCCTAGGCAGGCTGGCCATGGGTGAAGTGGGAGCAGGGGACAAGAAGTGGGGGGAAGAAAAGGGCTGGAGTGTAGTGGGGAAAGGCCATGGGGGGAGAACTGTTGTGGTTGCAGTGGAAGGGTGTTATGTGCGTGTGTGTCAGGGCACGGGGCCCGAATCTCCAGAAACCAAGCGACGATAGTTCTGTGGCTCATTGAACAGCTTGCTGTAGGACGGCCTTACTCAGTGAATGCAATGAATGTGTTCGCAGCAGTTGGTAGGTGCAATCTTTCCAAAGAATTCAAACCTCATTTCCTGCAGTTTTGCCCTTTTTGAGTCTGGTAAATGTCTGAGTTATTTGCTGGGAACTTGTCTGGCTCTTGTGACCAGGGTTACCATTAGAGACTCCCACCTCTATTACGTAAGTCACTCGTATAGTAATAGCCTGGACTCAGACTTAACCTAACATACATCAACCAACCTGAAAGCCCTTCTGTCTGGTTGCCATACAGTGAATTGCAAAAGAAAGGACTGAAACAATTTTATAATTCATGAGGCCAGATTCTCAGAATGAAGTGCGGGAGCTCCAGAAAGCAAGACCAGTGGTTCTGTAGGTTCAGCATCAATGGGGAGGAGTTCTTTCTTTTCACCGGGAAGATGGAGCGCTACAGGGCGGTAACTAACTTTAGTTGCAGTATCAGACTCTCAGGTTTATAGATAATGGGACTGCTTAAGGAAAACCGGGCAGCCACGCGTGGGGCTGATAGCTGTAGAGACCCTTGCAATGTCTGCATTGATTGGGATATAGAAACTGTAAAGACGATTACAAATCGAAGTATGGGGCTTCATGATTTTTTTCTTTTTGTTTATTCACTGAAGTTGCTGTAATATGGTGGATGTTGCCTGCACAAAAGAATATGTGCAACCCAAGCATATGACACATCCCCAAAGATCACAGTGTATTAACAAATGTCATCATCTATACGGTTCTTCTCTCCATAGTAGATGGCAGAATGGTCTCAAAACCTGGTAACTTTTCCTCTCTCAAACAATATTCTGAGGTCTCCAGTATAACTGAGGCTGATATTAGTTAAAAAAAAAGAGTTAATGAATTATGTTAGGATTAAATAAAAAATGGTTCTTACATGCTTACTGTGATAAACAGCGATGTCATTTTTATTACTCAGTCATTACTTGGTTAGCCAGAGCACCGCAAAGCCTGAGCCTTAGGCTGGGACCTCAGTGCTCCAGATTGGGGTGGCTCAGCTGAGTCTTACAGAGCCTGGGGAGGGGAGCGCATTTTACTGAGGTCTGCTAGCAGAGACCCATGGGCTGGCTCCAGATCTGGCAGGTCAGCCGGGGACCGCATGCTGCCTTGCTGGGCTAGCAATGCTGGGCTAGCAGCTAGCAGCTGCTCCCTGAGGCCTCAGGAGACCGTAGGAGGCCCTGCAAGGAGGTCCAGCTCCAGACTGAAGTCCTTCACTAGACCGCCCTCTTCTAAACAGGTGGAGGCCAACATTGCCACAATCTGTAACCTGTTTCTTACCCCTTCCGCTCATGAGCCTGGCCATCATAATCTGCTTATAGCTGCAAATTCTTTATATCCCATTGCAAAGAGAGCCTTAGTGTAAGCTGTGACGCTAAGATGGATGTTACGGAAGGAAAGGGGAATCAACCCATTTGTGATGCACAAGCAATCTGGGAAATCACAAAAGATTTATGTTCTCCATGAAGAACTTGCTGAACCACATTATGAGAAGATTGCAATTATTTAGCTGCTGACTATGCTGCAGAACACCTTGTGTTACCCATGAGAATTTTTTATTTGAGGTAGAGCGTGAAACAGTCATGTGAAGACATGAGTGTATGCAAACTACCGTTCGTCAGAAAAAGGGAAATTTAGTCATATATTTAGCAGTCATTTCCCCTTTTTTGGGAAATCCAAATACATATTTTTTCTCTCTCTCTGTGTCTCTGTTTCTCTCATCCTCACCCTACGGAAGGAAAGAAAGGTGGCTCTAAAATGTCATTTGGTTCTGACACAAATCTGATTGGGCAACGAGGGACAAATTTCCGCTGGGTGTTGAGCTAAACCCTATATAAGGTCCTCACTAGCAATTCTCAGTCTGATATCTTTTCATGAGAAGCTAATGGCTGAGAGACTGCGGAACCACAGGTAAGTGAATCTGATGGAAATTTGGGAATGAAAACCTCCCCTAAACCCTCAGGTTGTGTGGGGCTTCTGGAGATTGCTAGGTACTAAACCAAAGGAACCGGAAAGTTCTGAACAAAATTATCAAGGGTTTTCATCAGGCAAAGGATCTAACAAGAGGGAGAATCTCCCCCATTACAGGGTATGACACGTGAACCAGCCATGGGGCTTGTTAACGCCACAGGCAAAGCCACCAGCACCTGGTCCTGGTGTCACCCTGAGAGGGGCTATAGCTCCTTGCCCTGGAAACCCTTGGGGATCTGGCGGTAGGGGAGATGACCCGTGGTTATGAAACAGTATTATTGAGCAAGAGGTTGGCTTTGTGGTGTTGTAGAGATGATAATAAGCTGGAAATAGCTTACTATAGTCAAACTATCAGCTGTCAGATAAATATAGCTACTAGAACAGGGAGAAATGTGGATTAAAACTGCATTATAAGTCCGAGCATGATGGGGTACACAGAAGATGCCTGAAGGTGAGTACCTATGAATATGTCTGTGTTACACTGGTAGAAATATGTTTTTGCTTTTGGATACAATATGTAGTCGTTGTCTAGTCATTTAATATTCATCCTATGGGACAAGCATAGAGTTAGGCTAATGTTAAATACATGCAATTTACATTTCTTTATATAAAATGGAAATAGTATGTGTCTCCTGCATATGTCTACTGTACTGCACATAAATACCTTACGCAGAGCATAAACTGGTGCCTATATATAGCATGTTTTATGTATTTTTGCCTGTGGTGCACTGAGATAACACATAATCAATCAACTGAGTAGCAGCAGCCGAAACCTCATGGCAGACCTGAAAGTATCCAGTGATGTAGGCAGAAACTGCCTTGCCCATGCCAGGCCAAAGCAGATGACAACTAATGAATGACTGGCAGCAGTTAATTTTGTTTTCCTTTAGTGTCACCGTGTCTGATTTTTAGGACAAGTTGTTCAGAGTTTTCCTCATCTTTTTTTAGCACAGATGGTAATAGTGTCCATGCTGAAAACTCAGTTGTGCACCAACAGCACGGGTGTGTGTGCCGTGGGAGTCAAAGTTTTTTGTCCCAAAAGAAACATTTGTTGGAGACTTTGAAAGCTTGGCTCTGGTTATAGCAGGGAAGTTTGCCTGCAGCCTGATCTACGCTAGCTGGCCTCCTTCAGTAGCCACAGTGGGGAAGACAAAGTGACACAGGGCTTAATGAGGTCCATGCAACCTCGGAGGACACCTGAAGTGACTGCTTAACAGAGCTGAAGTCTGCTCTGCTGCTTCTTTGCTCCTGTGTTCACCCAAGCTACTACACTACAGCTCACTCGGGGTGGCTGACCTGTGCCTCAGTCACATCTTATTGCAAAATAAGCAGAGCTAGATTTTTCCACCCGTAGCTGTTGCACAGAAAAGCTGTGGGGACAGCAGCATCTTGTGGTGTGTTGTTTGCATCTCACGGAGGGAAAGGAAAGGGACAGAAGTGATGTGCTTGCGCCAAGCCAGATGCTCTTGTTCCACAAGTCAGCCCCCGGAAACTGGGGATGAAGCAGCCTTTCGGCTCACTAAGGGTGAACCAAAGCTCACCAGGCCTGGAGTGAGAAAAAGAGCAGTTAACTCTTAAGTTGACGTTGAGTATTTTCATTGTATCTCCTGTCTTGTAATAAACTTCCCTGTAGATTTCAAGACGCTTTCTCTCGGCCTTCTCCTTCTGATTTCCTCTGGGACAAAATGCATGGGCTTTTCTTTGTCCTGGTGCTGTGCACAGCCGGCGCCTCTGCTTTCAGACTCCATCAAGTCAAAAGCACAGGTAAGGGCACGCTTTTTGGTGTTTTTTCTGTCTCCCTCTCCCTTCTTTTTAATGTGCCTGGCTAACGGTAATGTAAAAATATCTCTGATTTATATAGAGAAGTGCCCAGATCACACCGTGTTTTACAAACACTACTATGAACTACATGGAGAACCTGTGGTTCTGAAATGCCCTTCCCCCAGATACAAACATCTGGATTTTTCTGCCTTGACCCCTAATATCACATGGTATAAAAATGGTTCAAACACCATGATATCAGGAAGAGATGAAGATCCAAGAATCTGGGCAAACGGAGATGCACTCTGGTTGTTGCCAGCAATGCTAGAAGACTCAGGAGTATATATCTGCACCAGAAGGTGGGTATTTAAAAGAAAATCCAGTGCACTAACTAGATGACTATGCCTAAAATGCATTAGCTTGATTCTAAATTCCAGTTACATTCAGAGCATGTCTCGATAAGACCATTTCCTCGCTGACTTTATTAGAGCAAAAAATGTGGAAAGTTGGAACTCTTAAATGCATTGTGTGTCTCCTATAGATATATATACTGAAATCTGGGTAAATCGTGACAAAGTATTGCTACGATCTTGCGAGGAAATAGTGTACAAGAGTTTGTTCTAGCTTATTTATGAGCCAGTCAGGGCTATGGCAAGTGGGGATGTGCTGCAGGCATGCAAGGGATTCTGCAGAACTCAACCCTTGTGTTACAGGTCCAGAGAAGCAAATAGCCTTGTTTGCACTGCAGGTTGCCTTACAAAACACATATCAAAGTACCATAGCTCTGCAGTGGCTTCCTTCTTCCCTCTTACTTATCCCTAATCTTTACTTTTCTTCTGCTTCACATTTTAAACCAGAATTTGATTGCTTTGCTTTTGATAGAAGATCTTTCCTGAGACCCAATGTGCCTTTACTAGACTGGTACCAGACTTGTGATATTGCAGTGGGTTGAGACTTGAGCCATGGTTTTCTTCAGCCCTGCTGGGCATTTTTTCTTCTGCATGTTTACAGTCTGACAGCCTGTTGTACAGTTTCGAAAGAGGTACCAGGGTCTAGATTTGTGGGTGACTGGGGAAGGGAAAAATGCCTGTCACCATAAGAGCCTGAACTCCAGAAGGTGTCCCAGGTCCTTGTCCCCTGCCAGCTCCTTCATCCAGTCAGTCTCCCAGTACACCCCTGGCAACTGGCACCTTGCTCTGGGGTCTATAGTGGAAAACATGTCTCTACAACCCTGGAGCTGCCTGTATGGAGCACAGTTTCCTTGCTGGCAAGGCACACCTCGTGGGTGACCTGTGTCAGCAGTAGAAGAGATGGACAGGCAGAACTCAATAAGTCATGCTTAGCATATTGGGTTGGCCTTTCCCCATGTCTCTGCAGTGGTGGGGCAGAAAAGAAGACTTTGGTAGTGAGGCCAGAATAACAAAAGTTTACAAATATTGTCCTAGAGCACAGAGTAGTTGCCTGAGACCTTCAAGGATTGTTTTTAATCCCCTTTTGGGACTATTCTGCCTCAGTTCCTCAATCTATAACACTGTGGCAGCGTTACTGACAGCTATAGAAAAATGCTGTGAAACCTGTTTGAAAAAGATATGCAAAAGCCGAGTACATAGCTTCATGGCTAACGTTATTACAGGTTTAATAAAGTACAAACAAATTGTATTTCTTTTGCAAATCATCCCACAGGGAAGCCACCACTTTTTTTTTCAACGCTCTGTAAAATGAGGGTAGAAGGAAATTATCATGCAACTCTGCTTCTGCTGAGCAAGTATGTTGGATTTAGATGTCCAACTGCAGGTGCCAGCCAGTCAATGCCCCAGCAGTAGTGTGAATCCATCCGCTCACAGCCCCCAGCTGCTCTCCAGGAGGTTGCTGCCCAGGCCCTCTGGCTTTGCTGGCCCCTGCAGGGGTCAGGCACTGCTCTGGGTGAAGGCACATTCAAGGCAGGCATTCAGAGGTTGGAAAGGACATGGTTTAATCACCTATCTCCCCCAGTTCAGTCCTCCTTGAGACTGGAAGTGATTGTCACTTGGGACCAGAAAGAAAAGTTAAATACTCTAACACATTCCAGGCAGGGATGCCTTCTTTTCTATGCAAAATAATACGCACCCACATAAATGCCTACTGGTCATGCAATAGTAACTACAGATGTATCTTAATACATGCTTTAAGCTTATTATTTCATGTTTAGGTCCCAATCATTAGGGTTTTCACAGTCAAGACCTCTTCCAAGGAAATGGTGGAGGGTTCCTGACATACCTGCTACTGTTTAGGTGGACATGTTCCCCCTCCTTGCAAAATGAAAATCATGCCTTAGCCTAAGAGTGCACAGCAAACTTGGGGTACAAAACAAAAAAGATTGAAGCTCTGAGGCAGACATGTGTGCAACATGCTTAGATTGTGCCAAAAACCCCAGTACCAGTGATTTTCCAGGTTCTCTCCTGGCCTGATCTCAGTCTTGGCCTCTTAGAAACGGCCAAGGAGGGGAACAGAGCCAGGAGGAAACCAAGGGAGTCACTCGAGTTCCCCTCGTTGCTGGTGGGTGCTCACCTCTCCCCGCTCTGTCTGCAGGAACTCCTCCTACTGTGCCGAGGTCTCCATCCACCTCACGGTCGTGGAGAAAACAGCTGCTCGGGAGATTGCCTATCCCCAGGTCCTCTTCACTTTCACCTCTGGAAAGATTGTTTGCCCTGACCTGTGGGATTTTACGCTAAATAAGACAAGCTTGGAGCTCAAGTGGTACAAGGTAGAACTTCCACCTCCTCTTTGTGCAAAGCCTAATCCCAACCTGTTTGTAAAGGCACTCACATCTCCACTTTCTGTTTCTCCTGAATATGTTGTTATTAAAGCCACGAGTACAGCATAATATACTGGGAATTTTGGGGCAGATGTATATATTTTAAGAAAGGTTCTCTGGGGTAGACTGAGCACAGGATGAAGTGCTCCACATGTTATATGCTCTCACTGGCAGTATAACTATTTTTAAGGCTATATTAGCTACTCTGACTCCAGGGTTGGCCACTACCAGACTATGCCCTTCTCTTCGGTGCCGTGCTTCTTTTTATGGCCCCTCAAGTGAATCCCTTAAAGTAGGACTTCATGTGAGCTGTTCAGATGAGGCAGCTTTCGTTAATCCGCTGGAATAGAGCATTTGGAAATACTGGATTCATCTCACAAAGCTTGCAGTGTTCTCTCACCTGACTTGCCAGTCCTCGGCTTTTCAAGTAGGCAGGCCTGGTTTTGCCTGGAAGGTCAAATATCCTTCGCTTGATCATCCTCGGCTGTACGATCTCACATTGGACAGCATGGGAGTATTCTTATATTTTCCTAATACCTTGGTTTAGCTTTTATTTACACTCCCACTATGATCATATGCTCTGCCTTGTGCAGCTCTCATTCTTACCATAGGATGCAATACCGAGGCTGACTTCATACAGCAGTGCCTACGTCGTGACTGGTACCATACCGGCAAAACGTTTCTGCTCAGGATTCCCTTCAGAATCAGGCTCCAACCCACCTACTTATCTAAGTAAAAGGCTGTCCCCCCTCAATGTGGTTCCCGCTACAACTGTCAGAAAGAACTAGCCTGCCTCCATGGAGCAGGAACATCATTGCTCCTAGCAGGGCTCCATCCCATGTATGAACAGAGCCTGAGCAACACAGAGCAGGAATTTATCACAGCGCGTGAGATCACGTAGGGTAACCTAATAGCTTTGTGAAACCTGCGTGATTACTCAAATGTATTTATCTTAGAAGAATGGCTTGGAATAGTACTCTTATGAGGTCATGTATGGAAAGTAATAGTGTTGTGAAAACCTTCCTGGTGACTGAAATGGTTTTGTCTTAGATGAATGTGCTAGAGGACTGCTTTTAAGAGAACCCAGTTTATCTTTCCCATCCTAAAATGTGCATTTCATCGAAAAGCTATACAGACACACTTTAGATATAGATAGATTAAAATAGTGATTCTTCACACTTCATGTAGTGCCTCAGAGTGTTTTAGAGATGGATACATGTTTGAAGAACTTGCCCTTTGGTGGGAAAGTGGAACTGCTCAGATTTCCCATCAATAAGAGAACTTTTAATAACAAAGAGACAGGGCTGAGTAATTTTGTCTGGAAGTTAGACAGAGTGCAGCCGCCCCTGTCACCTGAGCCGTAACACCAGTTGCTGTCCTTTTTCCAGGATGCTCTGCCTTTGGAAGACATGAATGAAAAATTCGTAATTCTGAAAGGTTCGACTTCTCTGATCATGACTTCTGTGCTACCAACAGACGCTGGCTACTATACCTGCAAGGTGTCATTTCCGTATGACGGCGTAATGTATGAAATCACCAGAACAATCCAACTGAAGACTGTTGGTAAATGCTGACACCTTAAAACATTACGGCGCTTAAGAAATTCTCCTCTTTGCTAATGAAATTCAGGAGAGGAACTCATACTTGGCCTCTCAGCACTGCTGAGGAAAGGGGGATGCCATGGGTGCCTGCTTTGGCCCCGGTGGGTTCCCCACAGCACCCCGGCAGGGCTGGGGTCACCCCTTCACCTGACTTGCAGCAGATTTGCAGGAGGCAGAACTTGATGTTGCAGGCACCGGTGGTTGTTAAACCGAATAATCTCTGTCAGGGTGGGGGAGCGGGGGGATCACTGCAAATGGCTTCAGCCAGTTTAGGAAATAAAACATTTACTACTCGCTCAGGATGGGGGAAAGCCGCTGGTTTGGTTG